TTCATATTTAATATTATAAAATCTTTACAAATGAAAACAATAAGATTACTGGCCTTAGTTCCTCTGACATAAAAAAAGTGGTCACTTGGTTATGTGACAGCTGTTACTTAACAGCAAAATTTCTTCAATTAGCTGCTGAGGGATTTTACAGGCTAAAAAATCTTGGACCAATGGATAATATTTTTGACTTTATTAACACATTGTAGTGCTATAAAATACTATGTGAATCTCTTAAAAATCTGACATTCTACAGTCTGTAATAGACATGCTGTTTTTACAATGTTTTACTTCTGCCTTAAGGTTTAGGGGTTTTTTATATGTATTTTTGCTCTGAATTACGTGTTGATTTGATGGGAGCTCTGCTTTTAAAATCATCACTTACTGGTTCTAATAAATTAAAAATTAAACTTATTTCACTGTTTTGCTGATTCTAAAAAAAAAGTTATGTCATAATACATTAAGTGGCTATATATGTGGAGTTACTAATTTGGGAGACATTTAAATCCTCCTACACTTTTCCTATACCTCATTCTGCCACAGTGAATGTCATCATGCATTAAATTTGTTCCTTTATGATGTTAAGAAACAGTTCCAGAAATAGGATTACTAAATCAAACAGGATGAGTGCTTTTTTGAGTTTTAAGCTTTATGTCTATACTGCTTGCCAAAAGAATAGTAGGATTTACAAAACAAGTATATACTTTATTGGAATTTCTTTAGCAATGGATAGTAACAATTTTAATACCATAAAATAAGTTTGGATGTCAAAAATATTTTCCCCCAAAATCTGGCCCCCATTTTCCCCTCCTCCATGTTATTCTCACCTATCCATTGTGCCTCCTTTTAGTATTCTCTACACTGTCCTTTGGCCCTTCATTTTGCCCATTCATACCAAGGCCATTCTCATTCACTTTCCAGCACCATGTGCTATACTTGGCTGGACTGAGCAATGTTCTAGACAAGCACAGGATGCCATTTACAGTGCTGCATCACTACAGTGGTTCTCCAGTCTGACCAAGACTTCTCCATGAACCAGGATTACTCACCCCAGTCTCGGAACTCTCTGTATCCTCTCACCCTCTTAACCAAGGTTACTTACTAGAGACCCTAACTCAATTCAAACCTTACTTATTATATTTTGACATATATCTTATCTCATAATAAATTTTAAAGCCCAAAATATAATTCTAGAAAAACTGACTAGAAGAAAATTGACCCAGAGAACCCTTACATTTCCTTTTCAGGAAAGAAAAATGAGGAATTTCAATTTTTACTTGGAGACAAAAACCTATTTTCTGCTCACTGATTTGGATATTAACACAGAAAATGCCTGAAATATAACTGTTAAATGGAATAAATCATCAACTTCAAAGCTGTGGATCGAACTGCCACTCTAGCTCACTCATCCTTACAAAGTCTGAATCTTGTAATATTATCTGCCATTGTATTCATTAATAAATACAAATAAGTTCATTAATAAATAAGGACATCTCATGACTGAATTGGGAAATGATGTAAGAAAAATATTTTCTCTCACTTTTATGCAGTTAAAATAACATCATTAATACAATTCTAATTTAGTACTTGGCATTAATTTTACTTAGAAAAGAGAGCAAGTACAAGAAAGACTGCAGATAAGATCCTATCTTCCCATTACAGTTGTACAGGAAAAACCACCACTAAGTGCACTTTTAAATCATAGCCAGCATTTGGCTGAGGTTGATTTAGTTGCAATATCCTCACTTTCATTCATTAAGAAGCCCCATGCATTCATATGCATTCACTTAAGTCTGAATTATTTGAATAAAACCACACACACACCAGAAGATCAGAAAGTTAAGAAGTTTTTAGAGCAAAAGAAAGATAGATATAGCTAAATGTTAAATTTGTATGATCTTGCAGTATAACTAAAACTTTAAATGGTCAATGAGCAAGCACAAATCATCTGTCTTTCAACTTACAATATACACAGAGACTATCTTCCTCCTGACACTCAGATAAATCCACATAAGGCAATGTTCCCCAAACAGAGGCAGTTTTGCCAATCAAGGAACAACAGGCATCTCTGTCTGGAGATTTTTGGACATTACGGTTGGATGGTGGTAGTGGTGTATAGTACATAGGGGCCAAGGTTACTAAACAACCTAGAATCCACAGGATATTGCACAGTAAGAAATTATGCACCCCAAAAATATGTTAACAGTACTGAAGTTGAAAAGTCTTGGCACATGATTTAACCTTCAAAGGATGAAGTATAAACCATAATAGGAATAACAATAGTAACAATATATAAATTTCAAGGAAGTAAATAATCCTTTAAAATCTAAATATAAGATGGGAAATTTTACCTGTCTGATAACTATAGTGCAAAATGAAAGAACTGCATTTATCCTATGAATAAGAGCTTAGCATGAAAAATATATAAAGAAGGATCACTGACTTTCCAAGGAGGATATCAATTTCAATCAATATTTTTAGTAACCTGGTTCTTGTTTTTTTTCTAATTAATTCCCAATAATAAGAAAAATTGCACAAGTATGAAGATAGCATATCAATTTACAAGGGCTTATAGTGGTTAATTCAATGTGACAGGAGGGAGAGAGGAAAGGAATAAAACAAAAGGTGAACTGAAGAAATTATGGCAGTCCTATTCATGTAGCTCAGGGACAGAGAAGCTAAAACACAGGTCAGGGTTTATGTGGCACGAATGTCCATTTGATCAGGCTCTGTGAGGCACCAGAGTAGCCTGGGTCTAAAAGCACCCAAGGCCTCTCCATGGCTTTTCCTATTAGCCAACAAGGTCACTGTTAGGAACACTACCTTCCTGGTTTAAGAATCATTCAGGCACTAAGAAAACTGAGTCTAGCAGAGAAAACAGCTCTAGACAAAATGCTATTGCTCGAATGTGGCCACACTGATGGTCAGTCTGAGACCGATACTCCTATAATCAGCTAATCTTTTGCTACAGGGGTCTGGAGGTTGATTCCCACTCTCTTCACAAGGACTATGATTCCAGAAGAATGTTACCAGATTCAGCAAATAAAAATACATCACACCCAGTTAAGTTTATATTTTTAAAAAATAGCAAATAATTTTTGGTAAAAGTATAGCCCATCCAATATTTGGGATATACTTATACTAAAAAATAATTCCTTATTTATCTGAAATTTAAATTTAACCAAGTGTCCTGTGTCCTATTTGGCAATGCTACCCTAAAATGTCAGCATCCTTAGATGGAAAGAACAGGGGCAAATTGGTTTCATTTCACATGCCATCCTTTGTACTTCAGTTGTGGCTATTGGAGGGGTGTGAGAAAAACTTATCTGGGTTTGCCAGAAACAAGCACCACAATGTCTTCACCATGGGCACAGAGGATGTGGGGACAGGGCTCATGGGAGCAGGGTACTGCACAGATAGTTGCCTTTCAGTGTTTATGTGGTTGAGAGATACTTTCTCTTGGCCTCCTTTCCCACACCCAAAGCCCAAAATGATATAGATGACTTCATCTTCGGTTTGCCAGGAGGCTGCTTTTCTCTTTCCTATTTTTTAAAAATAGCATTAGAAGCTTGTTTTGAGAAAGAATTAGGAGGATGAAATGTAACCCAAGCAGACAAACTACTGACCATTGCCAGAATGCAAGGTATTGTTATGAATTCTGGCAGTTTCCAGACTCTGAGACATGTCCTTCTATATTGGCTGGTGTCATGAGATATACTCAAGAAAAAATATTTCTGGACCACGAAAAAATAAAAATGATTAATAATAATATAAAACCTGTATTATTCTATAAAACCATTATCTACAAGTACTAGACATTCATGTACTTCCACAAGAACAGAGATCAGCAAAGTGTTTCCAAATAACCAGAGTGATCTCTAGGTTTTGTTCCTTTTCTATCAACTCCAAAGTGATTCCTACCATTTTCTTTCACATTTCCAACCCCATGTCTAGCTGGATGAACATCGCACTGAGCAAAAGAAGTTAAAACTCCTACAAAAGAACCAGGTACAAATCCAGAAAGAAAAGGACCAGCTACGAAGTGAACACAGCAGAGCTATCCTCGCTCGAAGCAAACTGGAGAGTCTGTGCAGAGAGCTGCAGAGACACAACAAGACCCTGAAGGTAGGCACCACCTAGCTTGGAAAGACTTTCTCGCAGGCTGCACAGACCCAGGCCTCTGCTACTTCTGGAAAAAGTATGAGTCTTAGCATGCAGTTCAAATACTGTTCAAATACTCGCTCACTTGTGACTTTCAAGAAGTTACTTTACCTCCTGAGCTTGTTTCTTGTCCTTGCTTCAGCAGCACATATACGGAGCTTTTTTCTTCCTCCATTGTACATCAATGTCAATGTGGCTGAGAAGTCCTTGTATGGCCGGGGAAAATTATATAAGGTGTCCACATAGTACTAGATGCACTACAGGCCCTTGATAAAACACCTTCTCATTATGTTGAGTCTATTTTGAAGTTAGTCCACAGTTCTCTCTTTAAAGTATTTGTAAAAACTCAATATCATATATTATAATGAACTCTGCATGACATGAGATAAATAGGCACAAAGTTAATTGACATGATAAGGTGAGAATGAGAGCCATATGTCAATAGTCATCTAAAAAAGAAGCTACTTGAAAAACACTGCAGCTCTTCAGACTTAATTATTCAATCTAAAAATAATAGACTGATCACTTCATTCAATCTGCATGGGTTTCATTAATTACAGTGTAAACCCCTCACAGTGTGGTTAATTTGATTACACACACACACTAGCTCCACTCAATAAAGCATGATGCAGGGCTCTCCAAGATAATACTGTCTGCATCCACATTACCCTTTCCTGCAGAAGATCCCAAAGCTTTCACAAACAGTAATTAATTAGATGCTAATATTCCTGTGAGACAGCCATCACTTGGAAGTGTTTAAAAGGAGTTACTTTAAGAAATTGAAATCAGTGCTGACTCTGTACAATGAGTTAGATAGAAAAGTAAGAAAGGATAATTGTTCCTTGTGTTCCACATTGCCTTTGGCATCTAGGAAATGGGAAGCCAGTGTGAAGAACTCAAATTCTCAAATTACACGTTTAAGGAGATGGGATTCCAGTATCTTTTCAATGACTGCACTTAAGGGCCATCCAAAACACAGGCTAGATGAGAGCCTGGAGATGAGTACACAGTCCACTCAAAATATCTATTCAAGTGATAGTATTCTGGGTTTCTGGAAGTCTTTTGGATTTCAGTAGCATAGTGAGGAGATATAAATTAAATCAGATAGAGTGAGAAGATGTATCGAGAAAGAGATTTAAAGAGAAAATTATATGGCTTGGAACCTTTGGGCAGCATTCAAAAGCAAAATGATGGAAGTGTCAGAAGGCCAAGCAAGAATACCCACACGCCCTCAGCAATGGTTTGTAGTTACTGACAGTGAAATTATGTATTATCATTATGCCAGGAGTTCTTCTAAGTGCTTACATATGTTACTAGATTTAATTTTCACAAACAACCTTTAAGACTTTCATATCTCCACTTTATTCATAAAGACTCTGAACCTCAGCAATCTAGAAGTTTTCCAAGGCCAGACATATGTTTAAGTGTCAAAATCATAAAACTATTTTCTAATTTCTCTTCTAATTTTTCCTTGATCCATGAGTTATTTGGAAGTAATGTTCAATTTTTGTAGCTTATGTATACTTAGAATGCTGTTCAGATGTTGGTGTAGTGTTTCATAGGTAACAATTAGCTTTAGATCATTTATGTCAAATTACTGAACAATAGTGTTTAAAGCCTAGTGTAACTGTGGAATTGTCTACTTCTTATAACTAACTCTATCAGCTTCTGCTTCATGTATTTTGAAGCACTGATTCTGGGTATATATACATTTATGACTGTTTTGTCTTCTTGATCAATTGACTGTTTTATCACTATGAAATGTCCTTTGGCAATAATCTTTACATTGATATTTATATCATCAGATATCAATATAACCACTCTATTTTATGACTCATTGTTTTCCAGCTATCTATTTTCATCCATTTATTTTCAAGCTCAGTTTTTAAAGTGTATTTCAGGCCAGATACAGTGGCACATACTGGTAATCACAGCACTTGGGAGGCTGAGGCAGAAGGATTGCATCAAGCTCAATGCCAGCCTGGGCTACATAGTGAGTTCAAGGCCAGCCTGAACTACATAGTAAGGCCCTGTCTCAAAAAAAAAAAAAAAAAGTACATTTTATAGATAGTATATAGTTGTACTTTCTTTCATTTGTTCATTTGCTCCTTTAATTGGAGTGCTATTCCACTAACATATAATGTAATCACTGATGCAACTGAATAAAATGATAGACACTATTTTCTTTTTTTTAGTATTTGCCACCTTTGTTTTTCTGTCCTTCTGTTCTTTTCCTGCCTTCCTTTGGAGATATGAACATTGTTTAAATCACAGTTTATCTTGTTGATTTTTAAATTATACCTCTTTGCATTATCTTTAGTGGTTGCTCTGTGATGAAAATCTACATTCTTATTTTTTCAAAATCTACCTAGAGCTAATACTGCGTCATATAATATATAGAAGTAATGCAGCTAAATAGGTTCATTTACTTCACTCACCTTTAAGCCATGATTGTTTTATGTATACAAGCACATACATTTATAAAGCCTGTAAGACAATGTTATAATTTATACTCTGACCATGTTGTATTCCTTTAAAAATTAAAGGACAAAACTGCCCTTTTTCTTTACCAGATATTTAGCATTCCTGATGCTTTTTACTTACTCTAAACTTTCAGATTTCTGTCAGATGTCAATGCCCTTCAGCTTGAAGAATTCCCTTTAGTGCTTATAATCAAGGTCATTATTAATACTTAGTTTTCAGAATCTTAGCTGCTTTACATTTCTTCACATACTTGGCATTTGTTGATCCTTTTGTATCTGTAACTATGTTTTTCACTAAATTTGAGGAATTTCAGCCATTATTTCTTCAAATTTTCTCTCTTCTCCCCTGCTCTCACTCTCCCTCCATCTCTCTCTCTCCCTTCTAAGACTCTAATTCCATGTCCTTTAGATCTTTTAATACTTTCCCCTAGGTCTTTGAGTTTTTATGTTCTTCATCAATTTTTTCTCTTTTCTCTTCAAATTAGATCATTTCTATTGGTCTATCTTCACATTCACTGATTATTTCCTGTCATCTCTATTCTTCTCATAGTCCATGCAGTGATTATTTAAATTTCAGATTTCATAATGTTTACCTGTTTTTTAAATATATTATTCTTCCTGCTTCAGATTATTTTTATCCATTGAGACAGCATTTTATTTTACATCATTGGTCATTGTTATAATACCTGTTTTCAATTTCTGCTACTCCCACATCAAGGTCATAGTAGAACACACCATCTCTGATTGTCTTCTGAAAAGGGTCACTTTTTCTTGGTTTCATGTCTAGTCATCATCAGTTGTATCCTGTATATTGTGACTGATGTTGTGGAGAATTTGGATTCTACTGTAAACTCTGAAGAATATTAATTTTTTAACCAATTACTGTAATTTGGTCAGATTCAAACTACAAACTTTACTTCTTGGACAGCAGCTAAAATCTCACTTCAGTTTTTTTATTCTATAGCTGGGTTGCTTTGAATATCCTGCACACATGTGGTTCGGATTGGCAGAGTTTATTCACAGAATCCAGGATTCTCCATCTCTGAACAATCCTGGGATTCTTCCTCTCACTTTTCAGTAGCTATCAATGTCCAGAATTCTTACTCCTTCAGACCATAAATACATTAGGTTGGCAGGTTTTCTATGAAAGCTTACCCTTCTCATTCTGCTGCTAATTATCAACTTTCTTCAAGGTAAAAGCAGAAAAAACAACAAAAACAAAAATTGGAAACAGGCATTTTTATACAGGTGCCAACTTTCTTCTAGAATCTCTCTGATTTTGTTTACCCTCCAATACCTTTAAGTAGCTGTATCTTACATTTTGTCCAAACTTTATAGTGTTATCTGTGGAACAGTCAACTTAGTATAAGCTTCCTTGTCTATACTAGTGATGTCTCAGTACCTGAATCTAAAATTTCACATGCTCAGAGCTAGGGAAATCACGCAGAAGAAGAATGTATAACCACATCTTTTTAGAACTGTATATATTTCCTTTAGTCTTTATTAAAACTTTGTCTTCATTGAGTTAAACATACACACAAAAAACCCATACTTTAGGATAATTTAGAAAGACCAACAAAAGTCTGAGATGTACTCATTTCCACAAAAGAGTATGTATATTTGAAACAATAAATCTAAGCCTCAAACTGTATTGGAAAAATACTTCCTAGTAAAAAAGATGGGTAAGCTGCCAAACCACAGCTCCCAGCGCAAAGGAAGTGTCTTCCAGGCCACCATACCACCACTCCCAGCGCACAGCAAGGAGCTTCCAGGCAGCTGTACCACTGCTTCCAGCACAGAGGAAGGGGCTTCTGGGCCTCCATACCACCACTCCCAGCACAGAGGAGGTGAGCCACGTGGGCACCAACAGCACACATCCTCCTGCCCCCCAACCCCCTATCAAAATGAGAAGACATATAAACAAGTCTCAAAACCAGACTTCCAGATCACCTACAGCAACCCCAAGGGAAATGAGAGGGAACACTCTGATACTCAACCACCTGGACTCCCTGAACTGGCACCAAAAGAGGATTTGGGAAAAATGAAATCAGAAATAATTTCTCATATAACAGCAGAGATTGTGCTCATAGTGCTAGACATGATTAATAAATCTAGAGAGGAGCTCAGGAACATGATGGAATCCAAACACAGGAAACAAAAGAAATCCATTAAACAGATGCAAATAGATTTCCAGGA